TCTGAGGATCCCCTTGATTGTTGGCTATTGACAACACCCCAGGTTTCTGCCCAACCAATTTAGAAACCATAGAGTTTCACGTAGAAAGGAGGATTTCTGGATAGTTTAATCCCACAAAAAGGTCCCATACATAAGCTGCAGAGTAAGCTAGAGTAAGACACCCGCACAAGTTTTACCTCCGTCTTCCCAGGCTCCTAAAAGCAGCTGCTCGTTTCGCGATGCTTTCGTACTCAGGAGGAGAACTAAATATGTGATGGTTATATAATCTGATGGGGAAGACCAAATAAACAAACCTAGCTCGCGAGAGAGCTGCCGGAAAATGTACTCGGGGAGCTCCGAGATCATTGATTAACCCTAACGTTGGGTCCCAAATCTGCATCATGTGATCAAGAAACAGGCGCGTCACATTTCAGTCACTAACACATTTTGGAAAAAAATCCCCTGTATGGAAAATCTACAGCACTTTCACTTTATTTAGGTATTGTAAATTTGCCATTGGATAGTTAGGCCTCTTTATGGGTTGTACATACCAAGTACATATATAGTTTTGAACTTGACATGACATTGGACCTTGGAGACTCATAACGAGTTATTGTGGCCCATTGAATTTGCAGCACAGTTCTGCACCTTTCATCCTATGTGTTCCATAGCCTCTCCTCTGCCGCCAGACGTAGTATTTGGTTCACTGACTTTAAGAATCATTGATGCTTGAGCCGTCGAGGATCTGTCACGAAGGCCCAGAAAGGCCGTGGGTTTGTCAATGGGACCCAACATTAGGGTTAATCAATGATCTCCGAGCTCCCCGAGTACATTTTCCGGCTTTCGTTCTTAGGTTTGTTTATTTGGTCTTTCCCATCAGATTCTATAACCATCACAGATTTAGTTCTCCTCCTGAGTACGAAAGCCCTGCGAGACGAGTGGCTGCTTTTAGGAGCCTGCCGTCTTCCCACCTCATTCCGGTTCATCTTTCAAGGAGACAGTGCTGACCCTGCACTCGAATCAAAACAAGGCTGCCGCCTCTATTCAATTGTTCCCGGATGGACGTTAGTGGTGTGGCGAGGTGAACCGGTTAGTCTCTTGTGCAGACCTTAGCATTACAAATGATAGTCGATTAGGAATGTGTGTACCCAATGTGCACCTCCATCCTCTTTGGACGTTTCAAGCTGAACGGGGAAATCGGTGATCCCCGATCAGCCAATAAGATCGTTCGCACACGAGGGGTTTTGCGCGGACGGTTTTCGCTGTCCGCTTTCTAGCCCTTGTGATTATCGCACACTTGCCCTTGAACAAAATCCTAAACTCCTCCGATTTCAGTCTTTACCGTCTGCTGCCATGTCTTGAGTGGTCCTGAATCGGCATGTATGGGCTCTCATTGCATCGGTTTTTGCCAAAGAAACAGAACAAAAGTGAGTCCAGTTCACCAGTCAAATTATTTAGAACTGACTTTTAAGGTCTAGGGGTATGTCGGGGTTGAGCCTGGGATTGGCACTGGGATTGGTATCTCGGCCCTTGATACACTCTCCCACCGTTCAAGATAGGGGACACATGTTTACATTTTTGATTCAGGTACAGGTCTCCTGACAAGTTATATCATGTCAAGGCGCTGAGGAGAGCCCATTACCTTTGCACTCCCGATTCCACATCACCTTAGACATGGCGGCGCCCGCTCAGCTCATTGATTATGTGGCTGCAGAACGGCTTACCACGGTGCGTATCTACATGTCTACAAAATCGTCCTTCCCCTCTAACGAAAAAAAAAAACACAGTTGTTCGATGGTAAGCCGCCTACGACGATTTCAAAACTCTAAAGCTGATGAGTCTTCCACGCAGTTGCGGCGGCGATGCTGTTGGTATACGACTGCTCACTGACGTTGGGCATGGAGATTGAGTTTGTGTGGTCATCGCCATGGGGGTATATGACAGTGCTTTATATCGTTCAACGATATTTGCCTTTCTGTGACGCTATTTTTCTCTGTCTGCCTCGTGAGTACATAAAATCACTCTCTCTTTACAATGTTTCACCATTTTCTCTTCTAGCCCAATTGGCGATAAATATCGACCCATATGGTTGCCTTATCGTTCAAACGATACGAGGATGTATGCATTCTCTTTAAAACGTGGTCGTTTGGCTCATCGTTTCATAGGGATGATGATTTTTGGCTGGATTTTGTCCGAAGGTGTGAATTCTCTTCATTTTATTATAGCATGCCATCTGACGTCCTTAATGATGTATTGTTCCTAGCAATCTTGACCCTGCGCGTATGGGCAGTATGGAAACGAGATCGGCATATGGGTGTCTTTCTGATATTCCTAATTACGCTTAGTGTTTGAAAGTCCGGTTAGGTTAGGTTATTGGGTGCCCAGGGGCTCTAACCGAGACCGAGACCGGTTAGGGTTCGTTCCCAGACCCAAAATAACCTAACTGGACCGAAGATAACCGATGAAAACCGGTTAGTTGCAGTTACTAACCGGTTAGGACCGAAAAAATAGAAAATCGATTAAAACGGCGTATATTTCTCATATTCCTTGCAGTAAACATTATAGCCATGCGTCGTAGCTTTAAAACAAGCCCAAGAACGCTAAATTCGGCGAAGAATTGACAATTTTATAATAATATTCTTGAAAGCCTACTATTTTAGCCAATAATTTAGAGATTTGACCATAACTCTGTCAGATTTTTAGCGTTTCTCATGCTTTTAGATGCGTTTTGAAGGGGTATAATAGGGTCGGTTGTAACCGGTCATAACCGGTTTTTTAACGGTTAGTTAACCGCAAAATAACCGGTTATTTCATTTCCAGAATTGACTAACCACTAACCGTGGTCCGGTTTTTTTGCGGTTAGGTCCGGTCTGGTCTCGGTTATTTTCCAGTTAATTAACCTAACTTCCAAGCACTAATTACGCTCGCAACCGTGGCGGAGATATATGTGACGATAATCTTCTATCGCGACCTACAATGTTTGTCCACCATCTGTTATACTGAACTACTGAACCATCATCTCACCGCAACTGACACCCCATGTTAAGTTGGTGCAAAGCCATACCCAGAATTTGTCGGTTGCTTTTTCACCAGTGCAAGTCACATCGTGTACGTGAATTGGGTTGTATTCATGATTTACGAAGCTAGTAAGCATTCACTTCTACCCTGGTGTACGGCATCCGCAACTGATTGTCTCCCAGTAATACTGGTCTTGATGATAATTCCTGGAATTGCTTCCTGTAAGACCCATACAGTGCCTAGTTTTCCGCTTGCTCATAAGCGAGGTCTTTACCATCCCCCATGAGTTCCGGCGGAATCCGGCGGATTCCAAGTGGAATGTCGGAATTCCATGGAATTCCGATGGAAACTAGTTGGCTGGAGCCTCAGCCATTCTGGTTTCCAATTCCATGGAAATTCCAATGGAATCCGACGGAATCTGGTGGAAATGGTCGGAATCCGGGAGCCTCCCGGAACAGTTTCCATTGGAATTCCAACCAGATTCCATGGAATTCCAATGGAAAGTATATTCCAGTCAAATTCCAACAGATTCCGAGAGATTCCAATGGATTCCAATATTTGTTGTTGTTATTATAATATATAAAAAAATAAGTGGATGCATAAGGATCGAACTCTAGCCTCGGGAAAGGTCACGGGAAGTCCAAGCAGCAATATTTCCACTACACCATACAGCCGTTAAAATTCTACGAACATTTATTCCATACAACCCACCCTCACGGCCACCTTCCTAAACGAGTCGCGGCGTTCGCCGGCGTCACCATCACCATCAGTGTTTT